TAGGAAAGATAAATGTTGTAAATTGGAAAAATTGCTTCAGTGGCCCTATAGGCTGGGTTACCAACTAGGTAAAGTGGACAACTGTCCTGGGCACCCAAAATTCCTGGGTTAACTAAATGCCAGTTAAGTTACAATTTGATGAATTGAAAATGTTTCACGATTATCAACCCTGAAGTTTAGTATCAACTAAGACATTAGGCCTGTAGCCTGTATGCAATTGTTTGGCCCTGCAGCTCACACTGTTTGTCACAAAAACGTCCAAAAATCAGCTTTTACCTCCTGCCCTGCCGTTTGTTTGAGTGTCTGTCAGCAGGATTACAGAAAAACTACAAGCCTGATTTTTATAAAACTTGGTGGAAGGATGTATCTAGTACCAAGGAAGAACCATGGGAACACAAAATAGGGTTTTTCTTTTTTATAAACATAACAACCAGCCACCTCAAACATCACTATAACAGAACACTTGGGCAAAGACCGGCACTCTCCAACCTTCTGGTTTATTATTTATTCATTTACTGACTTCCTTTCACTAACTTGTTTGCTTGCTTTATACGTTTGTATTATTTAAAGTTGGGCACCATCCTGCAAACAGATGTTGTTGGTTGTCTGACCTAAGTAGCCTTAATATTAATATGCATTTAATTCATATAAAAATGGCTAATATTGGACTAACACAGCTTACATGCACACACACAGCACTATTTGATTTCCTCAAGGAGAACAACAGTGTGCAAAGGCGTTTGACACTGGCGCAGTTTCAGGCACCGATTCAATTTCATTTGTGCACCTCTATCAACAGGCCCGGTTGACGGATTTACCCGTGGCCTGGCTATTTAAATTACTTTCAAATCATAAAAGCAAAGGAAACGAGGCTTTGCAGGGGGGGAAAGGTTGAGAGAAACAGGCAGAAAGCAGCGCTGATTTCCCTGGAGCAAATTACCTCTATATCAGCGCCGGAGACAGGCGGTAATCTGCCTGATAGAGAGCTGAGGGTGAGAGACATAGAGCCACATTGGTGAAGGGGGAAGAGAGAGAGAGAGAGAGAGGTGGGCGGACCTGCAAGACCGCTCCAATTTTCTAGAGGTCAACTACACCAGCCAATTACATATCATGAGTGTGGGGGGGCTGGAACAGATTCTGTTTTATTCATATCTGCAGAATGGATTCAATTCCCTGAGATACACGATTTAGAGGTGTTTGGGTGGAGGCTGCAGCTGCAGTTCGGATGAGACTGTAACACTGATATGGCTGCAATAAACTTATTTTCAATATCAATTATTTTCTATTATTTTCTCGATTATTTGGTGAAAAGTTCCCATTGTAAGTTGCTAAAGTTCAAGGTGGCATCATAGACATTCACATTTAAGAAGATGGAACCACTGAATTTGTGCCATTTTACATTTAAACCCCACTCAAAGCATTATCAGAATTGTTGCTGATTCATTTTGTGGCGATTTAATTGTTCCAGCTCTGTTGTGTAATGTGGTGGAGAGGTGATACCATGAAGTCATGCAAAAGAAGATGTATGGCACGTTCAGGGCCTGAGGACATTGAGGTCAGGTCCTCCATTTTATTTTATTTTTTGAACATCCCAGAACTAAAAACGTACAAATGGTGGTTGCCCTTCCAAGTCTGCAGTTTTATACTCAGCATGTACTACAGTTTTATTTTAGGCCAGCAATAAAGTAGCTAAATCATGAATAAATAAAATATTCCGCATTTGAATACCAGACTAGAAGTCTCTGAAACAGAATTCAGACATAATAAATGAAATGTTTGCCTATAACTAAACTTTAAAATGTGCATGACAATTAGGTCAACAGGCTTTTTCTGTTTGTTTGTTTGTTTTTGGGGGTGGGGGGCATTAGTCAGCATGAAGTTTATTTAAAAAAAAA